AGTGAGAGTAATGTGTTTAATGTCTTTAATATGCATGATACCATGAGAATAGGATTGATTGTATGTTAGGGAAGCCATTGATACTCGAGAGAGATCCTTGGTATTTATTAGGGTTTACTTTTCCCCGTTCGATTGAAATCGTATGTTAAGGGTAGAATTACAATTGCATCGATAATAATTGTGGTGAAACTAGATCTTGGATGTTAAAAGTACTTGATTTAATCATCTTATTTAGTTTATTTTTGAATTCTTCTCATACTTAGTTCCTTAGATAATTGATTATAATTGATTCTTGCTTAGTAGAAATTCGAGTCTATTTAATTATTTCTGAACCTTAGTCTCTTGGGATCCGACCCTTACTTGCCAGTCTACATTAGTATTGGTCTGTTAGGTTATTTTTGATAGGTACGCGACACGCCTATCAAATAATGCAATTCTTAGACACATAGCTCATCCTTTGAAATAGCTTATGAACATATGGAGTCAAGTTGCTTGTGATTTCCTTGGAGTCCTCCCACTTCTCATTGTTTCTCCTCATCATGTACCTCCTTATCCATTCCATTTGGGTGAGGATAGGTTTGTCTCTTGCATCTCTAATAACTGCATTGAAAGTCTTACACATGTTGTTTAGTAACATATTGGACCTGCAATTGTCACTGAATGCAGGTCTGCACCAGTGTTGAGTGGGGATATTGTTCAAGTAATCATAAGCCTCCTCATTAAGCTCCTTAATATGTTGCATTGGTATTTCATACTCAAGCTACAAACACAACAAGAACAGTGTTCTAGTCAAGCTCTTAAATTTGTTCATAACAATCTAAGCTACACACACAACAAGAACAGTGTTCCAGTTTATAACAATCTAAGCTCACTGAATCCAGTTCAATTTCATAGTTTAACTTGTTCAAAATAATCTAATCTACAAACTTACATGTGTTGTTGCTCTTGCAGCACTCCAAAAAATCTCCTTGAAAACTAATCCAGTGAACTTCAACTTGAAATTTGCCCAAATATGCCTAACACAGAACCTTGTTTCTGCATTTGGCACAACTTGAGCTAGAGCTTCAACCAGTCCCTGTTTAATAGCATCCAAATACATTTATCATACTTCACAAAATAAAGAACAAGACACATTAAAGACTAGAAAAAAACAAGACAATTTTACCTTCTGCCTGTCTGACATGAAGGTGAAGCCTGACCCATCTGCACTCCCAAGGCTATGCATCAGTGATTCCAGGAACCAAACCCAATTTTCCCTGTTTCAACCTCACAAGTTTCCCAAGCAATAGGGTAAATGCTGTTGTTTCCATCTTTGGACACTGCAACTAAAATCTACCCTGGGTAAGCTACTTTCAAGTGGCAACCATCCACCCTAATGATTGGCCTAAAACCCTTCAAGAAACCATCTTTCAAAGGCCTCAAATAAACATACATTCTCATAAACAAGGGAGGCTCAGGTTGCTCAATGCCATTTACCACCACATTACAACCAGACCCTGGGTTGTATTTCATTATAGCCTTCCCATAATCCCAGACTCTTGAATATTTCTCTCTTGCTGAACCAAAAATTATCAACTTAGCTCTACATCTTGCCATCCAAGCCCTAAAGTAGGTCTTGAACCCCCTAGTCTTGTAGCACCCTATCCCTGATTTGCTTAATCTTCCAAGTTGGGTTACTTCTGAACTCCTCAAGGTACCTCTCTGCAATGAACTCTGCAGTGACCTTCTTGTTCTCCCCGCTTCTCACACATCTATTCTTTAACCTCATGCTTTTTATTTGCCAAGTCTGCTGTCTAACTAACTTCGTAGCATGGATCTTGAAATTGCACTTCACTCCGATCCACCCTTGCATATACACAAAGGCATCCTACTTGTCTTTGTGTCAAACTTACAGCCACATCTATTCTTACACTGAATAGTAATCCTACTACTATCATTGTGTAAAAAGTAGTATTCATACCTATTCTCTATGGCATGTACTCTTAGAGCTTTCCTCAAAACTAAAACATTGCTGAACTTAAGCCTATTAACAAGTACAACATGCTTAGTGAAGTCAATTTTCTCATTAAACCAAGGATTGTTGTCCTCTTCATCAAATAAACCATCCAAGCTCCTTAGCTCATCTAATTCTCCCTCAATTTCTTCCTGCAGTTGAACCTCACTCACATCCAAGTTCTCATTCAACCTTGACCTAGGAGCCTTTACAACCCCCTGATCATGTACATCCAACTGCTTCCCAAGACTTCTTGTTACCTTCTCCAAAATCTCTTCAGAATTCTGTATAAACCACCTTTCATCCCCACTATCATACTCCTCCTCACCAGGCTCCCAAGTTATGTCAATGTCACTCCTATTAGTAGAAGAATACCCTTCCTCACTCCCAGATTCACTGCCCTCACTATTATCCTCAAAAACTAATCCTTTAGCTACATATTTCTTTTCCCCTTCCCCTTATCCAACACCTTCCCACTACCAAAAACCCTTTCAAACTTAGCTTTACCTTTCCCTTTATCTAACAACTTCCCTCTACCAGAAACCCCCTCACTCTTAGCAGAAACCCCTTCACTCTTTCCTATCCCCTTACCCTTATCATGTCTATATCTAGGTTTAGGAGAATCTTCCCTTTGACTCACCTCAGGGTCAGTTTTGTTAAGTCTTGGGCTCTTCCTAACTGGTCCAGTCTTTCCTGTACTTTTCTTCCCCTTTCTCTCAGCCTTTTCTGGAGTGGACTGGGCCTCATGTATGGGCCTTAAGGGTTCACCTGCAGTCACAAAAACTTCCACATACCCTTCCCCATTGACTGTCTCTAACAACCCCTTCACTTCCTCTTCATTTACTATTTCCTTTCTCCTTGTGTTAAAGGTCTTCCCTCTTTGTTTATACCACAGTCTGTAGTTTGGAGGGACATGAACATTATAATTCACAAACCCATGCACAGCAGCTTCCCTCAAATAGTGTACATCTATCTTATCCACTACCACATCCCTCCTCCAATAACATAGCCCACCACACCAGCAAAGCAAATGTTTTGTTTTTGACATTCTTTTGGGAACAAAAGCACCCCCAACTCTCAATACTATATCAATTAATCCATCTTGGTTTTTGTCCATTTATCTACCCAATAAACAGATGCAAAGCAAGTCAACAAAAGCCAACATATCTTACCCCAATTGCACAGTCAAACGCACTACTTTAATCAACAAAAGCAAACATATTTTAAACCAAAACAAGGACAAACCAGTCAACATGTCACCAAAATCAATGAATTAAAGTAAATAATTAACCAATTACACCAATTCATACTTAAATTAATCACATTCTACTTTAATTACAAGTTCGTACAGTACACAAAGTAAATCACACCCAATTTTACTGGTTTTAGGGTTCCTACTTTTTTTCCCAAATTACCCTACATTCCTCATGAAAATGGCATAATTAACTTCAACAGTTGCTGAAAACTACTTTATTGGGTTTGAAAGGTACCACTTTTGGAATCTTGCTGCTGTTTCTGTCAGAATCCATGAAAAATCCAAGCTTTTTTGTTGTTGAAAATGGTTAACGACTTCTGGCTGAGTTGTTTTGCTCCAATACTAACACCTCCCTTTTCAATTCAATTTTTCAACCACACAATTCAACTTAGGGTTTGATTCTTGACAGTAATTTTGGTTGTTGAATATTAACAAAGAGAATTCAATGAAGGAGGAGTAGTTGGGTAATCAATGGAAGGGGAGAGAATCGAATTGAAGAGGATGAAATTTGGAGGGTAAACTAATTTGTGGGCCCCACACATATTTTCAGTCATAGATTCTGTTAACTAGTGGTGAAATCAAAATTTTAATTTTTTAAGTGGTGTTATAATAAAACTTAGAAATTGTGGTGTTATAATCAAAATTTTGTGTTTTTTAGGTGTTATTTTCTAAAATTACCTTATTATAATTTTAATACAAATTTTTATATGTGGCTAGCAACACCGTGTGACCGAGGTTGATTAATTATTTAGGGATAACCCTTGACCGATCGAGTAAGCCCTGATCGACAAAGTAACCCCTGATCAAGTAACCTCCGACCGATCGAGTGATCTCTGATCGAGTAACCCTCGACCGATTGAGTAACCCCTGATTGACCGGATACTCCTAAATAAGTAATCCCGACCATACTGAAAGCACGATGCAATTTTAAACTTATGTTAAATTACTTAAGCTAAACTTATCTGAAAGTCTTATTTAAACTCGTATTAGCTCTTTATTTTGTAAAATTTACTATTCAACGGTGTGTTTAAGTTGAAAAGAGTGATGTCCTCTCAAATTAAACATAAATAATGTGAAAAGAACAAAGTCAATGGTTCGTTCCTTTGTACATGATCAACAACATCATTTCCCATATCGCATATCCCATATATAGGACACCACCATAACTATTACTTCCCTTAAATTAGCAAGATTTCTTTGAGTGGATTATGGAATCTAACCAAACACAAGGGAGAACTCGTAGGTTGACCAAAATTACTGTTATTGTCGAACAATAATTAATCATCAAGATATGATTTAATAAAAAAAAATGCAATCATGCTTTGTGCTTGCGTAGATTACAAGGGATCTCCCACAAATTTCTATTCTTAAATATGACTTACGGAATAGTCATAATAATCTTTATTTTACACATTAATTACACAAGAACATATGAGTAATAAATTAATAATAAAACACTCTTAGAAATCAAACTTTTTAATCTATTCACAAAATATACATCATTGTATAAATTTAACATTTTTCCTCTCCACATTCCTGAAAGGCCGAGATTAACTAAGGCCATGTTCTTTTGAGTTGATGTGATCTGCTCTATTCTGCTAAAATCTGTTTTACTCTGATAACACCTACTCTGCTAAAAAACTCAAAAGAACAGGGCTTAAGAGTTCCTCTCGAACAAAAAAAAAAAACAATGATTTAGGTGTTACTACACAATGTCACAATGATATATTTTTGTTATGTGGGGATGACACATTTATTACAAAGATGTCTTATTAGAAGTATGGAAAAAGACATGAAATAAAGCAATGAGTTGAAGGATAATTCTTTGTCTAATCTTCAAAATTTCATGATCAGCCCACCTTTGAGTTTGTCTGTTTCACAACCAAAAATAAAATCATTTACTACTCCTTCCCCAAAAATCATCTTCTACTATTCCCCGCGCTTTTTAATTCTCTGCCATTAATTTCTGATATATTTCACCTGCAAAACTTCAACTATATTTGGTGGGCATTTAATTGTTTTCCTTTCTTCTTCTGGCAAAAATTTCTTCAAAGGTATGATTTTTAAGTATGTTATTTTCACTGAATTTTTTTGTTTTTCTTTCTGCTCATATCCCTATCAAAAAGTACAAGTGCTTTTAATTTTCATTTGAATTGTATGTGAAGGAAGTATATATTATGGGGGTTTTCTGGATCATCTGACTGATATGTTTTGGTGGGTTATCTTTAATTTCATAAACTTCTTTGATGCTTGTAAGTTTGATTTTTCTATTTCAATGGAGGAGGGTTTTGTAACTTTTTTGAAGTCTACACTGTCCTACTCAGTGTACGCACCCGAAGTTTAATGAGACGTTTATTTATTTAGGGACAGAGGGAGTATATTTTAGCTTTAGTTTCTTATGCAATAGATCAATTTTATCTTTCTTAAAATTGATCTATAGTTTCTTTTTGGTAAATTGATCTATAGTTTCTTTCATGGAGGTGGGTTTTTTTTAACATTTTCTCTAAGTTTATATTTTGAAGAATTTGGCTAACTATTAGGTTGTGTCTTGTAATTTATGGGAAAATCTAAATTGATGGATTATTATTTTCAGTATTACTTTGAATTTTGATGATAAATCATGGTACTTCTTGTTAAAGTAAACCCTTTTAGTCTTTTAATAGTCTGTCCTCTATGGCACTATTGTAGTTTAGCTAATGAAATATCACATCCTTTTTGGTGCTTGTATTTTACTGGTTTGATTGTCATTAAAAAAAAGCTTAACGTCATTTGTTAATGGCCAGGGTTCACGTGCTGCGCCAATCTTGTTCAACATCTAGCTGAAATGACACTCGTTCGTGTCATGATTTCTATTAGATCATGTGCATAATTTTGTTCAGAGATGGAGGCTTTAAAAAATTTTCCTCCGGGATTTTAGCTTCTTGATTACGGATTATAAGATTGTGTGTCGCGTTGTACTTGTTTTAAGCTCATTGTGTTCATTTTTTGTATCATCTCAGTGATGTTGGTGTTATGTGCTGTTTTTAGGAAGTCTGTTTTTGTGATAGTGGCTGGTGGAAATTGATTTGGTATATATGGAAACATTATTTGGCATTCTGAGTAATTAGATTGTTGACAAGGTAGCCCATCAATCATGCCTACTGATTCTCTCAAAAATCGGAGAGAGATAAGAAGTTGTTTGGTAGAGGTAACAAGTTCTCTAAATTAAGTTTAATCTTTGCTTGTTCCTTTGTTTGACTTAAATTCATCAGTTCCTTCCTTGGTGTTGTTTTATCAGGTTTCTGACACTGAAAAACGGCTTTGGGCATGTTTCCACTCCAAAGGAGTGCTTCATAATGATGCAAAAGATCTGTACCGTAAGGCTTGTTGTATATATGAGAAACTCTTCTTGAATAATAGTGAACTACCAGACCTTCAAAATATCGAATATCTTTTATGGAGGCTTCACTACAAGCATATTGATGAATTTCGCAAGATAATATCCCAAAGTTCGGCTAAGAGTGAGGATAAGATGGCTGCAACCAGCCAAAAGAAGGTTGCAAATAAGGACATTATTGATGCTCACATGGAAGGATTCAAATCATTTTTATCAAAGGCGACTAAGTTTTATCAAGATTTAATCAGAAAAATTAAAAGATTCTATGGCCTTTTTGATGAGCCTTGGTTTTATAAGAATGACAGAAGTGCTGGTTGCGTAGAACAGAGAGAATTGCATAAATGCCAGTTTGTTTCTCATCGTCTTTGTATCTGTCTTGGGGATCTTGCAAGATACCAGGAACTGTATGAAAAGCCCACTATTCAGCAAAGAAACTGGTCTGTTGCTGCTAGTTACTACTTGGAAGCAGCTAAGATTTACCCTGATGGGGGAAACCCCCAAAATCAGGTACTTGTTATTCTACTTGTACTCTCAAATGCTATGTTACTTGGACTCAATACTCATGTCAGACATGGGTATGTGTCAAAGTATTAGACTCGACTATTTTATGAAAATTTCCATGTTTTTGGTTCATAATGAATTGTCAAGTGTTCATATAATCATATCAATGCCAGAGTGTCAAAAATATGACACAGGTACTTGAGGTGCGATGAGGAGTGCGAGTAACATAGCTCAAATGCATAAACATATAATAAGCAAGGTTGTCAGGATATGATATATGTCCTTATAATGGTTTCTAGTTGGCAGTGCTGGCGACATATATTGGGGATGAATTCCTTGCTTTATACCACTGTATAAGAAGTCTGGCTGTGAAAGAACCTTTCCAAGACGCCTTGCAAAACCTTATGCTACTCTTTGAAAGGGTAAGTTTTGTGCTTGTAAGATTATACCGCTGCTTCAGTCAAGTAAATCCCCTCTTTACCAGTATTAATTGAAATTAAGATGTTTCCCTTTCTGATCTTGCAGAATAGGTCAATTGACATGGAATCCAAGGCAAATGAGCTGTACGACTTCTCCAAACCATCCGAGTGGATTTCCAGCCCTAATAAATTGGCACCTGCAAATGGTGCGTCTTTATATTATACTACACCGAAAGTCACTGAGCACAATAAATCTATGCCAACTGATGCCTGGAATCTTATTATCAGAACAAATAGTTTCTTCTTCTTAGAGTCCAGGTACACATCCTTCTCACAAGTCGACTATGCTTTCATTGGTTGATGTCTAAACTCACATGATAAAATTAAATGGTTTGAATAATATTGCACTTGCTTAGTTTTGCTAATTGTGCTATACTACTATAACATAGTTGATATGTTTTGAGCTAAATTCTGGACTGTCTAGAGTCCGAACATGATATTTGCTTCAGAGGTATTCATAGTGTTATTGACTTGCTTCAAATCAAATGCTTTTAAATCGTCTAGTAAAACAACAAAAGAGTGACCATTCCTAGAGTGGATTTGTATCCTAAATTCATTCAAACTAGTTAGAGAGCAACAGTTTCCCCTTATCCATATCCGAAGTTCTTCCGTAACTAAATTCTGAAATAACCTTTTTTCATCCTGATTGCTGAGTACTGCTATTATAGTGTAGTTTAGAAACCGTCTTATGGCAAAGTGATGCAGAAATATTAGCAGCAATGGTTGCTTTCTTGGAGTTTCTTTGAATAATTTGTTTATAATTGTATGATCACCAGCCTTGGACCTTGAGATCTGGATCTTGTCATTTGGGTGCAGATCGATTGAGGGCAGACAAAATCTTTACTTGATTTTTCAGCTTAAAATATTTTAAGGAGAATGTCTCTGTTTGCATTTCTGAAAGAATTGAAGTGGTAAATGAGTATGAGCTGTATGACATGAGATTTACCCAAATTACTGCCTAAAAACCCTGCCTTTGGCAACCTGGCATTGAGCTAATCTATATTCATGTCAGTGATTACTTTTAAATGAGCTCCTTAAGATCCTGGCTTCCTTCATCTGAATATTATCGAGCACTATCTCCTTCTCATATGCTATATAACTAACACTTTCATATATCTACGAGATTTGACATAGTTCTAGGTCATGTGCTTTGATATGTGTACACAATAGTATGTTTGAATATGAGAGTAACAGCCTTTGAGCATTTTCTTCTTTAGTGCACTTCTTTTGGTTTAGAATTTGAACACAATTAGTATGTTTAAATATGAGAGTGAAGGTCTTTAAGCATTTTCTACTTACTCATAGTTTCATGTCCTTTGGTTGAGTATATCTAATACTCGTAGTACTAACAATATATGAGTGTTTGCAGTTTGGAAAGCTTCCCTTCCACTTTTAGTTCCACTCTAAGAGAATTGGAAGCATTATTGGCACTGGATGTTTCCGAACTGAGCTCTGCATTAGAATCTTACCGGAATATGAACTTATCTAAGGCAGGCCCTTACCGAGCCCTGCACATTATCACTGTCCTGATTTTTATCATCCACAACCTAGCTGAACCTCCAGAGAAGAAGTTTCTCAAACCAAAAAATGAGATGCAGCAATCCATGCTAGTAAAGTTGGCTTTGACTATCGCATTCACATTCATGGGCCGCTTTGTTGATCGATGTTTGAAGGGAAGCCCCGTGATTTACTTCCCTCTTCTACCTGCTGTGCTTGTGTTTGTGGAATGGTTGGTGGGGGCTGCTGATAAAGTAGATGTTAATGATGAGAAGTGTGATAGTGCGAGGCGCTACTTCTTTAGCTCTTTTGTAGACCTACTGAACCAACTCCAACAAAACAGGGCTCAAAATACTTTTCCTGATCATATAGCTCTGTGGGAAGATTATGAATTGAGGGGATTTGTACCTTTATTGCATACTCACAACTCATTGGATTTTTCAAGTCATTGGGAAGAAGAAATTAATTATAAAATGAGGAACGAATATCGTGCTCATCGTATTGTTAAAGCAGCAATAAAGATTGCAAAGGAACCAGCTGGTTGTACTCGAAAATGGCTATTTTATGATGACGTCAGTAGAATTTTCAGTGCATTGGAGGCAGTAGATAGTGGAAAATCAGCTGTGGTAGATGAAGAAGAAGACATTGTGTTTAAGCCAATCACTCGACGTAATTCAGAACCAATACAAAAAGAACCAAAAACAGAAGCTTCTGATGAATGCTTGCGCCGTGCTTCTTCACTTCTTGTAGCCCAAAACCGAGATTTATTCAACTCAACTTCCAGCTCTTCTAATTTCTTTCCCAGCTCCAGTAATCAAGCCGCTCAAAATGAACATCATAGTTCTACAAATAGCACAATTTCTGAGGGTCCCATTACTCCCATAGCTGCTGGGCCTCCATCACTTAGCTCATGGGTTCTTAATGGGGAAAAAATTTCCAATGAAAGAACAAAGGGTAGGGATGCTGATAGAAGTGTTTTAGAACCCATTGAGGAGGCAGTGGCTTCAGACGGGTTGATGAGAAGTCTTTCTCTGTCCACCAGCGATAGCTCTGGCCCTGCATCTCCAGTAGCATCTCCTCCGCCTTGCTCTACTCCCACACCTCCTGCCCCGTTATTACCTAGTAACGCCGTGTGGTTCATAAATGCAGCAACTCATCAACCAGTGAATTTTTCTTCATATCCCCCGAATGGTCCACAAGCAAGCCCTGGTCTCCCTAGCTTTAGTGATAGCTCCTCGCCATGGAGCAGGCCCCAGTTCCCTAAGCTTGGAAATCACAATCTGCCATGGGTCCCCAATCACGCCATGCAAGATCAATGCACTGCATCTAGAGATTTCAATAGCAATCGTGGCTCTGAGCCTTCAAGTTTTGGCCTCTTTGACAATTGGAGGTGTAATAATTCGTGGGGTTCTGCAGGAACCATGTATGTGGATGGCGGTCCACCATTATTTCTTCCGAGCTCTTCACTTCTTCATGGGTTACAGGATCATCATCAAAGAGCGAAGCCCTATGTTTCCCCTGAAATTACAAACACAAGACCAGAGCCACAGCCACTTCTGCAGTACCTTAAGGAAAGAGAGTGGCAGCTACAGCAGAATTCACCATTCACAGGTTCTCCTTATATGCATAAATGATGTATTCAAACATTCCAAAGTGTGATTATATAGAGTTCGATTTGAAGAAATAATAATTACTGTAGGAACTGATCTAGTGATCTGTGAACTTTTCCATAGACCCTTAAACAGTTTTTAAGAGGTCCACACTGAGTGCTAAGATTGTGAATGCATATGATGTACATAATTAACAAACTCTTGTCAGGATTTCGATGCATTTGCGAGCTTAATGGAAGAATAAAGGGAGCTAATTCAAGATCGTGACCAAGTTTTGAGACTGATGGGCAAAAAAGAGGTTGTTAGTATGCATAAATGGTGAAGTTACCATTGGCAAATGTGCAATCTGAAGTTGCTATTTGACAAAAGTGAAATTTGAATAGATTTACTGTCTATCAATATTCTAAAGAACAACAGTGTTCAAATTAAAGTTTCATTTGAGCATATAGCCTTTCAACCCCTCATTACTTAGCTTCTCTATTTTCAATAAGAATAAATTTCCAGAAATCATAATGAGTTAAAATTCCATTTGAAGGAAATTACACTGATTATCTCCAATAAACACCATACAAATAAGAGTTTGGGACAATTACAAGCTCAAAGGAAATTTCATCTCCAAAACCAGTTTACAATAGGTGGAGTGAGGCAGATGTGGATGTTGTCCCCTTATTAGGACTGGGAAATCACAGATTGTGCAAATAACAAAGAACAATAAAGAACGCGCGAAAAAATTTACATGGAAAACCTCTCATGTACCAAAGAGAACTTTACTCAATGTGTATGTGATGAATGCAAGACTTTCAAGATATCTCATCTAATTGAACTTATTCTAATAGTGTTCATAGACTTTATACTCACATAGTCACATGAACACATTAACATTAAGATAAACATAATAATGGAATAGAAGGGGAGTTAGTAGGAAACTTAAGGAGAACCCAAGGAAAGAAACATTCAAAGGAGATTGAATTCTAACACTAACTCTACGTTCAACTCAACTTATTTAAGCATATATCTGCTTGTTTTTATAAATGATCATTTATTCAGATTATATTAGACCATAATTCCTTTGTTTCAAATTAATTGACATGTTTTGACTTTTAACACTATTCACAAACTTTACTCTTTTGTAATTTATGAATAAGAAAAAAATTATAGTCTTGTAAGGTCGTGTTAGATTCCTCTCAATAAGTAACTTTAAGAAATTTAATTAGGCAGTATATTTAGACTTTTTAAAATACTAGGGTGGCTAGCGCAAGCATAATAACTAGTCATATCAGTTTTTCAGTTGTTGGTAGCACTAATGAGGGAGAATATAGCAGATATTTGTAGGGATTTAAATGTCCGTACACTATTCTTAAGAGTTAAAAAAAGCCGATAAACATCAATGAGGGCAAATGAGTAAATAATTTAGAGGTGTAATTGTCCAATCATTATTCATAAGTTATCTCATACAGGGTACATTTTAAAAGATAAAACAATGGGTGAAGAGATTTTTTAACACATTAATACGAAGTACGAATTAGTGAATTATTGGCTTAACTACATACAACATACGGAGTATTTAACATCAACAATACCAAATTTAAGTCAGATTAGGTGAACTGAACATGGCCTAAATCTTACTCCGTATCCCTACCTTAAAAGTTTGGGTTAACTTTTATAAATAATGTTTAGATAGTTATACCCTTTAAAATATTTATTTACTTATTTACCCTTATTAATGCTAATTGTCTCTTTTTTTGAACTCTTAAGAATAATTTGCTTATATTTATACTCCTAAAAATCTTTGTTTATATAATTTCCCTTATTAATCCTAACAACAACTGTAGTTATAATATAAGGCTAAATCGAAAGACCCTCATGACATGGCTAGCTATGGGCCTAGACTATGACGCTCATTGTGTGCGTTAACCGTCCTAACTCCAAACCATTTTATACGGAGTATCCATACCCAATAATAAGAAGGAAAATAAAAAAAAATAAAAAACCAGACGGAAGATTGACCAGATTCCACCCGACCATTCCAACCTGAGAGAAATAGATCGTCAATCTCCCGGCGGTACGATTTCCGGCGCCAAATCTTGCCGTTTTCGCCACCGGAACCCTAATTTCCATTCTCTCTCCTCACCCCCTGTATAACCCCATCAAAAAAAAAAAAAAAAAATTCATTCCAGAATAGATGGAAAAGAAGCCATCTGAATTCGAAGATCTATCATCAGTACAGGCAGTTTTAGTGGGTGCTTTAGCTCCTGGAGTCAATGTTAGTACACTATATTATTGTTTTTGTAATTCGTTGTTACGGGTATAGTCCCGGATTTAGTTGTCACCTTACTAGTTTAAATTACGCAATCAACGTGACTATTAATTCGAGACTATAACAGATGATTGACTGATGTGATTCTATTGTTTGCAGGCTCCAACATGGACTACATTGAAAATGGTGTTTGTGATGCTGGGTGCTAGTCTAATTTTGATGCTTGTTCTGGGTTTTACTTCTAGTGATACTGCTTTGATTCTTCATGTTGGGTTCCTTGTTCTTATCACTCTCACCTTATTTTTATTGCTGACAAGGTATATACTTTTCTTTTAGGTGTAATGTTGTGATTGCATTGTTTTTTATCTTGTAATTTCTTTTGTTTTAATTTGATTGTTATTGCCTTTAATTGCATTGTTTATTGTGGTTCTGTTTCACGTTTTTGGTTATTAAATTTTTTTTGCATTTAATGGGATAATCATTAATCATTAGGCAATGTTTAGTGTTTTACATTATGATTTTTTTGTGTTGATTTAGTCTTAGACAATAATCTATAACCTCCTATTTTACTGTTTTAGAGACTTACTTTAGTGCAGGAATTTGCAATTGAAACTATCTTATACTGCCATTATCAGTATAGTCATTCTTTGGCATAGGGTTGTTTTGGGTCCAAGTTCAACTTAGTAAGCATTAGAAACTCGATATGGCTTGGAACTCGACAACTGAAACTTTATGATCAATTTGATAGTTTAATCATTTGTATTTCCTCTTTAGAGGAGAAAATTAGTTTTGTGATGTAGAAGTGAAGGGGTGAAAAACTGAAAATGAGGATTACTTATCTATATAAATTTTGATTATAATGCTATTGTTTCTCTTAATACATATAATAAAATTTTGATCACCAAGGTGTGAATCTCTTATATGTTATGCTGTACCTTTCTGAAGTTAAGCTTGATTTGAACCTAGACCTGTCTTAGCTTGGTCAAATTTCTAGCTTATGAAGCTCTCTAGTGTACTTGAAAAACGCCGGGCAAGATTTGAATGCTTGATTGCAGCCCCTAGAGCGGCTAGACGTATATACCTTTATATAAATTTATCTATGGTGGCTACTTTGCTAATTACAAATCAAGTTGGCTAATTTATAGTTGCTTTCATGACTCACTTCATGTAGCTCTTAGTCTTGCTGAAGTCTAGACCATATTCATTCCATTTAAATCGGTTTAATCCCCTGTCCACTCCTCCCCCCATCACCCACCCAGGCCAAATGAGCAGAAGAGTTCAATGTTGTTTGTCCCTGTGGGAGTTCATTATTTTTTATCTATGGACCTAAAATATTGGAGGCTATATACCATTTTGGGCAAATGCTAAAGGTTTTTTCCCTTCATAAGCCTAAGAAGAGAGAAACTTTGCGAAGACAAACTCATCTTTTGTATGTTTCAACTAGCCAATCGTCATTATGACACCAAATATTATCTAAGGCTAGATGGTCCCATGATTCTAGGTCTATGCTTCTTATATAATTAGAACAATAAGGAAGATAGTAACGTTAGTGTTAATTGCAATTTGAATAATTCACTATTGTCCATTACCCAAAATAAGCTTTCCTTGGCAAATGATTTAGTATAATTGAAGTTGTAGGTAGTGATCTATCAAGGCTTTGAAACCTGAATTTACTGGTTTAGCTTATTTCTTTTGCTTATTGTTTGTGCAGTACAGGATGCATTACCTGCTTTTATCTCTTTAGGTTTCATATTTGGTGCATGGTATATGTGTGACTATTCTCTGTTATGATACATGTCATACAACTTATTCAAAGCTTCAGCTTGTGCAATGCAATTTTATGCTTTGTTTAGAGTTGCTTATTGTGTCACTGTCACTGCAAAATTTAGAGGTTAAATTCATTCGATTGAAAGAGATTGGAAGGTGGCCTCCTATGTTTTTGCTCCCTCTTTGTCCATACTGGGTACTTAGTCCATGGGCTTAATAGTGGGTCAAGTTAGTTGTGCTCATGGATCCATATCTCATGGCACTATTGTGTAATGTTCTTTGATTTACTATAGCTTAAATTTTTTATCAAAGGTCTTATTCAAAGAAGCATGCTTTCCAATTTCAATATTTGTTTAGGACTTATGTCTTCTTAATTGGTATAGTAGCATTACGGTTATTTCACCAAATACCCCTGACTAATTCGCTTATTCACAGGATACTCATGAAACTTTCCAAATACACCAAATACCCCCGAGTTTAACAAAAATGCCCCATATACCCAAATGACTAACGGACGTCAACTCTGTTAGTCATTAAGGGTTAATTGTGCCACGTGGCATCTGCTGATTGGTTGTTTTTTTAAAAAAAAATCTTTTTAATTAATTGTTAAAAAAATAAATTTTTTTTTAAAAAAACCAGTCCAAACCCTAGCCACCGCCACCCGCCCCTCAACCACCAGCCTCGCCCAGCCTATTCCGGCGCCGGCCACACTCCCTCCCGCCGGCGCCAGGCCTCCCCCACGCCGGCGACCGCCCCACGGTGTCACTAACCCGAAAAATCGAAACCCTAAAACCCCAAATCGAAACCCTAGATTTTGATTTTGGGGTTTTAGGGTTTCAGGGTGGGGGTTCGGGGGGAAAGGGGCGGATGTGGTAGGGGGAGGGGCAAATTGCGTTTGCCGGTACGGGGGAGGGGGGTTTGGGGCACCAGGGGAGGGAGGGGTTTGTGCTGCGGGGATGGTGGTTTGGGGGAAGGGGAAGGCCAATTTTAGGGTCAGGGTCGGGCTGGTGCCGGCGCAGGGGTTAGGGGGGATTTGCGCCAGCGTGGGGTTCAAGGGAGGTGGCGGTGGAGGCGGTTGTGGCGGTGGCTGGGGTTTGGGCTGGTTTTTTTTTAAAAAAAAATATTTGATTTTTTTATTTTTTAATAATTAATTAAATAGATTTTAAAAAATAACTAATCAAGAGATGTCACGTGGCACAATTAACCTTTAATGACTAACGGAATTGATGTCCGTTAATCATTTGGGTATATGGGGCATTTTTGTTAAACTCGGGGGTATATGGTGTATTTGGAAAGTTTCATGGGTATATTGTGAATAAGCGAATTACTCAGGGGCATCTGGTGAAACAACTGTAATATTTATGTTTTTTTTTATTTTTAAAACAAAAAGGTTGAGAAAGCTGGGTGGGAAGTTAAGAATTAGGATCTGTATGTTTGATGCTACTCAGCAGTCACTTCTTACTACATAAAGGATCATTCAATTGATTTTAGGAGACCACCTATATATAAATCATTGTCAGTGCTTTGTTTCTTGCTTATTGTCATAAAAACTAGAACGTGATCAGCATATCATTAAACCAAGTGTTCTAACTCACTGCATCTGTAGTTGATACCTTAGTATTTTCAAGGGGAAGTCTATATTTCTTTCCTGCCTCCCAAGCTCCCACCTCTTCATATCTTGAACCCCCTCCCCCTCCCTCTCCCCCTTTTCTCTCTTTTCCTGTTTCTTGTGGACCTTTGGCACTTGCGAGGTATGGGTGGGTGGGAGAAGAAGATTGACTGCTGATTTTTCAGCAGCCTCATTCTGAAGAAGGTTTTTGTATTGCCAGATTTTGACACGTGTGTTCTGTAAATGCCAGTATGTATAGTGCTATTGATCTATTGATGTTACGTAAGTACAAAGTTTATGTATATTTTGAAATGAAGCTGAGAATCTTTCCGAGTTCTTCTGAATTCTTGTACATAAAATATACCTCATTGTATGCTCCCATTTGAAGGATAATATGAATGCATCAACTTCCCGATGATCTTGTTGCCCCACACTCCCCCCCCCCCCCCCCCCTCTCTCCTCTCAAAACAAAAATAGTCCGTCTGATTTGTGCATCACTAACCCTGGTTTTATCTGGTAGAGTCAGCTTTTGTTCTTCTGATTTTATTGTAGTACCTGTCATAATGTATAACTTGTTCTGTTATCTCTGCAGTTTTCTCGAACAAACGGGTCTAGTTTCAGTTGAACATCAAATGCAAGAAATGGGCTTGGTGCCTAAGGATATCAAAACAAGCCCAAAAACCGAGTAAGAAAGAGAGCAATTTCAACCATGTTATGTGACAGTTAAGAGCAAACAATTGAGAAGAACAGATCTTTTCAAACGATCAGATTTTTTTTTCCCATTGTAATTTCGATGACAACATACAGTACTTCATACATCTTACAGAAGAAGTGAAAAGGAAGTTGGCCCTACGGCTTCTCAATACATGACAGAAAGTTGAAGGTGCTCACTCGTCATATTGTCGCTTCTTCAATTGATCCCTTCTGGACTTCATGTAATAGGAACACGAGCACTATTGGCATTGCAGCATAAACTTCATCCTCCATCTACGCTTCTGCTATAAAGTTTTTATAGGACAAATGGACAACACTATAATTTTTGTTCCTCTTTCTAGGATTATATACCTATTCGTTTTGTTTTTTTTTTTTTTTTTTTTTTTTTGAAACATATTCACATATACCTATTCGTTGATAAGAAGGACGCATGGCTTCCTAATCATAAGGGGCACCATGATTTGCTTTGCCATTCATTTTAGGTCATGTACTCCGTAATTTTTTTTTGTAAGAAATCAAAATGCCAAATAATAAAGAAGAGTAAGGAGTTTCCTATTTTTATCCTTTTTTTTTTAATCAGATAGAAATAATTCCTTACATTTAAAAAAATTGTAACCTTGTTTGAAAAAAAAATAAAATTGTAATCTCAATTAAGGTTAAAATGATTAATTATTCTTATATAAAAAGTTTGTTCATTTCAATTATACTCAAAGCTACTCCTTATATCTTTTACTCCTTATAGCATCAATCATTTTTATTTTATTTTTTGTCGCCTCTTCACCAAATCTATATTAACTTACTAAATTTTCAAATATTGTACAATTGAACAACATCTAAAATAATTATTGTCTATATGTAAATAGTAATACTTTGTAACAAAATGTCATGCAAATAGGCATAGGACATTCGGTTCAATTGTAAAAATTCTTTCCAAATGACTAGCCATAGCCATAGCCATATTGTGCCCATCACGCGTTAAAACCCCTAGTAATTAAAAAAGTGTAACATAAATAAGTTCACTCATCAAATATAAGTGTATCACTTTGACTTTTCCACTATCATATACTTTGACTATGTATTATTAATAAACCTCCGTTCTGAATAAATGATCCAGTCAAATTTGTCACACATGTCAATGCATGATTTTGACCATTATTATAAATAATTAAACAAAAGCTATAGTCAAAGTTAGACATGCAATAGTTGGGAGTATTCACGTTATTTTTTCCTAACAGTTATTAAAAGTAAATTTGTACTCCGTATTATGAAACTTCACACTAATATCTAAAAACATTATACATCACAGTAATTGCTATTCATTCATTGTTAAAAAGTTATAGTCAAAGCTAGTATATAAATAGTGAAAAATGATAAATTAACAACGGTTGTATAACTTTCTTCAAGAGAACGCGCCCCACGCGAGAACAAAAACCATTTTCAAGCCCCCTTGTTTTATAAAACCAGTTTCCTTTTAACTTTCTCAGGCGGGCTGCCGGCGATCGGTGTAGGCGGCTTCCCCTCTCGATTCCTGGCGAGCCTTTTCCTTGCCCAGCATTACCAGAACGCAGGGAGGCCCCCGATCGCTGCTTAATAGAGCAACTTTTGCCTGTGCCTACGGCGAATCTAGCTTGTCTCCGCCTCCTCCTGCCGCGGTCTGCCCTTGCCGACCTTTTTGTGTCGCAATTTGGGGTGGTTGTCGCCCTTCTCTGTCCCCTGTTTTAGCCTATAATCCAGCCTTGGTGGTAGTGCTGCGGTCTCCGCTTGGCTACAACTGCCTCCCCTTAGCCTTTGTTGACAGCTGGCATCGGTTTGTGGCTAGGTCTTGGTTGTAAAAGCCCGGCTCACCACCTCCTTCTTTTATTCTCGTTGTCGTGCTATTCTCTCCGAGGGTTTGTTTTCCTTGGTTCTGCTTGTGTGTGTTCTTTGTGAAGTTGTTAGCCAATTCCCTTATTTCTTTCGGTTTTTTTAGAAGTTTCGTTATGGACTGCCGGAGATTACTTAGTGCCCTTATGCATATTCATTTGAATGATGATTATGATGAAAGCATTGCCAACTTTGCTAAGAATAATTGCCCCTGGAATATCCTCAATTAAGCAAAGACTTTGAAAGAGGAGGGCAATGTTCACTTCAAGCAAGGTGAAATCGTTCTTGTTGGGGCTAAGTATGATAGAGGACTGAAACTCTTGTGTTTTGTACTCCCAAGAGATGGAAGATGATTGTGTTTTCCTAAGGAATCTTGCCATATCCCTTGAGTTAAACCTCGCAACTTATGCCTTAAAAGTTCGGGATTTTGAGCAAACTAAGGAGCTCTGCTCGCTAGTCATTATGCTTGATGATAACAACACTAAAGCCCTCTCTACCAGCTTGAAGAGGCTTTTGAAGACCTTGGCAAAGCAGTCAAGGTTGAGCTTAACAACCAGGACATCCTCCACTAAATGGAGAAGGTGGAAGGTCTTAGAAGTAAAGCTAGCAAGCTCAAGGGCAAGAAGGGCAAGAGAGGCACTTGCCACATGCCATCTTCAACAAACAAGGGAAGATTAGCAAGTCAGATGTCAACCTAGAATCCAACAAGTTGTCTAGTAGTGACATTCAGAGTGATGTTACGGAGTTACCCAACTTAGACGCTGCTAGTGAAATGGTGGTAGAGAACCTTATCCCATCAGTAACCGAAACTCCTTCTTTGGAAAAAGGAGACGATGAGGCTACCGGCTGTAACACCTTGGAAATTTCCCCCTTTTAAAATACCTATTTTACCCTTTTAAAATACAAAATAGGAAATAACCAAGGCATTACCGCCACCGTGATAACGGCTAAGGCATTTATCAAAGATACACAGCGGAAGACATTTTTAAAACCTTTCAAAACAAAGTCCACCAGTCTACCAAACAAAAGTAATGTCAAAACTACAACTTGGAACCATTTTAGGCCCTTTCAAAACAAATAAATGTTTAGAGCTAATGTGTTAGTCTCATTAAACAACAATAATAAACCAATAATCAATAATAAACACATATTCAAGATTAAATTAGAACATAAGATTCGCTCTTCACTCAAACCCCAACATGAATATACCGCATCACCTAAAAAACTTCTCTTTAACTGTCCCTACTACTCACCATAAGAAATGGGTCATCGTAGGGCCAAGATAAAGACAAGTCCAAACACATACAAAACACAACAATCATCAATGCTCAGTACGTAAGCGTTTAGGGAAACGCACTAACATGCTTTCATCCTATCAACACACAATTTACCTTGTTGCACCTGTTTACAAGCATACAACATACAACACAACCAATAAATAAATAACTAGCTAAATTGCTTATTTAATTTGATTACGCATCGAACGGATTTCCCACCAAATCCCTGCCTCAAATAAATTGAGGTAAACTACACCGGGAGCTAACCGGGTAGGCAAATGTCGCATGAAAGTGACGGACGTCCTGCGCATAAAAGCAAAATACAGCGTCCTGTACTCCCAGTAGAAACTATGGTTAAATATAAAACCCTATAACTCCCCTCATATGTTCATACTCAAGGTATATACATTCCAAGAGTTTTGATGCGTAATCTCTTTCACTTTACGTTGTTTACATATTTTTAGACTTGGTGATGACTCTCAAACCATAACACAATCAATCATAATAATCATTCAAGCAATCAAACATATCAATTTAATTCTTGAATAATTAGTGACCACATAAATTTAATGTTAAACCCTTATAAACTACCTTGGCATTAAAATAACACCTTAAGCGCATAAAGCACCGTAAATCCTATTCCTAAGTATTAAGAACACCTTAAGTGCTCTTAGTCATCGCAATATATTTTATTCATGTGTACCAAGACACTTAATAGCTCAATTCCCATGCTTAAAGCATCAATAAAAATTATATGAGCCATAATAAAATTCTATTTTAATATTTCAAACCAAATTAAACATTTAGTTTAATTAAACAAACCTTCAAACATGTCAATAATAAAAGTATGGTTCAATAACAATATTCCAATATCACCAATTCCAATAAATAATTTATTTCAACCAATCATGCTTCACAAACATTTCACCAAAACCATTCCAATTCAATCAATCCAATTCAAATCACTAATCTCATTTCAGTTCAACAATTCCAACCAATTCCTAACATGATTAACTTGGAATCAATTAAATAAATCCTAGCATGTTTCTACACGCTTAATAAATTTCCGAGTACGCGTACGTACCTACGTACTCGGAAACGCTACCAAAATCCGCAACTTTGCTCAACTAATCCAAATCAAAGTCTCCTATATAGAGGGACAATAACACTATATCAATTACCCTTGTATACACAATTTCCAGCAACTTAAACTCACTTTAAATAGCTTATAATATACTCTTTAATGGGTAATTACACCCTTTTTTGTAAAACATCCAAAGTAGTATGTTGGGCAAATTTTCAGCATGATAATTCAATCAAAACCCATTAAAACACCATCAAGAATACATCTTTATGCTTGATTAATCAAAAGAATCGTGAGAAATACCCCCAATTCAATTTATGTAAGAACCCTAAAAAATCAATTATTTCATAAATTAAAACCCTAACTTATAATTTATAAAATCTGAAAAATAAACTAGCAAATAGTAATCTGAAATTAAGCTTTTAATTCATTAAAAACTGATTTGATACTAAATAAACATATTTAAAACCATTAAAAATCAAAAACCCAAACCAATATATAACTATACAATTTAAAGGTACAAAACAAGGGGGAGAAAGGGAGCCTCACGGAAGGGGCTGCTGTCGGTGGCCGGCAAGGTGGTCGGCTGGTGTTGGGGGTCGGCCGGCGGCGTGAAGGGGGCGGCAACATGGAGCAGCGACCATGCACACAACAACACTTAGTGAGTTGTTGCTCACGTAAGAAGAACAAGGAAAAGAAAGGAGAAAAAGAAAAGGGTTTTTCTACATGGTGACCTCGTTTTTGACTTTTCTACGTTGTGACCTGACAAATATGAATTTCTACACTGTGACCCTGTTGTACGAATAGTCACTATACAGTAACCTACGTCAGCATGCATTTATGACAGACGTTTGGGTTGGCATTTATTCTGTCACCTAACTGTTACTGTACACTCAAAGAACATTCTCCCTCCTTCAAAATTCCCTCCTCTTCTCTTACTTCATTCCCCCTGTTTGAGTCGGTGATAAAAAACCCTAAGAAGAGAAATTGAGACAGAATTAGCGAAAACACTTAGTGAGTTGTTTCTCACGTAAGAAGAACAAGGAAAAGAAAGGAGAAAAGGAAAAAGAAAGGAAAAGGAAAAGGAAAAAGGGAAAATAAATAACTTACTTGGACCATTTGACTTTTTGGGTGGAAAAATTTTGAGGATTGAAGAGTATTTATAATGTAGAGTAGATGAAGGTAATATTTGGGCTTCATGAAATAGTGATATGATGAAGGAAGTATTTAGCCCAATTATGAATGGGCTTATTATGAAATTGGTTATATTGGAGTAAACTAATTATTGACCCAAATATTAAAACTTGTCTACCTTATTTAAATCTGATAATTAATAA